TATGAAACGCAATGAAGACGTATATGACACGTCTGTGAAGCAAACGTGACACAAACAAAGGAACCATACTTCAAGCAAGCATGAACGCTAACGAAGCGCTCCGGGAGTGTAGAGGACACGCTTGTCAAGGGCATCTGCAGAACAACCGACAGGCATGTGGACATTACACGCAAGCTATCTGACACGTGTTTGGAAAATCTATGAACGCGTATGTTGCGCATATACGGGACGTATACGACAAGTGCACAAAACGCAAGCGCACACGACACGTCTACGGAACGCATGTGACATGCATGCGAAGTCTATACGGCACATAGACGATACGTATACGGAGCGTTTACGAAACGTATATGGGAATAACCCGTAACGTATACACGTGGCATGCGAAACGTATAAGACACATGTACGGAATGCGCATGGGGCGCACACACAATTCATATAAAACGTGCACACGGCGGTTACGATATTTTCCACAAGGTAGACCAGATCCCACAATCAAAAACATCACAAACGAGTACTAAACGTGTACATCACGTACCCGAAACGTATCCCCACACGTCAGCACAGCGCATACAAAACGTATGCGCGCCGCTACGAACGCATGTGGCACGCATCGAACACGCAGCTAATACAGCATGCGACACGACCATGACATGAATACGCAACGTAGATATAACGCGTAGAATTCGTAGACGAGACACATATACAACGTACAAAACATGTATCCGAGACGTATACAAAACAGGGAATCCACACGACCCCCGAGGATTCTTAAGGAGTCCTGATAGATTCCTGAAGATCCTAAAGGACTCCTGGAGAGCCCCAAGGATTCCTGATGATTCGTATAGATTTCAGAGGATTCCTCAAGATGTCCTGGGGGGGGCCGAAAGATCTCGAAGGAGTCCTAGACAGATGTTCGCTGATTCTTAAAAATCCTTGCTTCATCCGAAAAGTTCCTGCCGGCTTCTCAAGATCATTCAAGATTCCGAAAGAGCCCAGGGGGGGTCTTATAGATTCTTGGGGAATCCAGAAAGATGCTTGGGGGATCCTGAGTGCTCTACCAAGGAGCGCCCCAGAAGCTGCCAAGGGGCGCCTTAGAAGCTGAGTAGTTGCGAAGGAGCGCCTTACATGCTGCCCAGGAGCGCCCGACAAGCTGCCAAGGAGCGTTTTTGAAGCTGTCCGGGAGCGCGATAGAAGCTGACAGGGGGCGCCCCAGAAGCTGGAAGAGAGCGCCTGAGAAGCTGCCAAGGGGCGCCCTAGAAACTAGCAGGGAACGCCTTGGAAGCTGCCGACGAACGCCTCAGCAGCTGCCATTGAGCTCCTGGAAAGGTTTGGAATATGCCACAGATCATGCATTTTCAGGACCTACAACTGAAGAGTGGACACGTTTTCTGGGGAATGGACAAGCTTACCGGGGAAATGGTTTTTCTTCTGTAGGAGTGTTGAAGCCAGCGCCTTGCCTGCGAAATCCTAACGATGTTGTCCGAAAGCAGAGGATGCTGGGCACGCATACGAACAAGTTGCTTGAGACATCCCCACAATTTGGGCGCGAATCCTGGAGTATCCCCACCCCCGGCGCCGCTTCCTTGAGGTCCCCAATACTTACGCCGAACAGATCGTGTTGAGAATTGGACCACCAGTGAGAACGAGTGAGTTTGAGCCTGAGTAGGACATGAGTACGAGTGTGAGTTGATCTGAGTGTGGTTGATTCCGAAACTGGGCAAATCTAATACGTTTGAGTCTGAGTGTGAGTGAGTTTGTATACGATTGAGTATGAGTGAGTCTGAGTCCGAGTTCGCTACTTTGACTAAAGAAAATACAGTGGAGACGGGGTGAGGAGGAGGAGAGATCGTTCGTTCCCAGATTCGACTATAGGGAAGGAACAAGTTTTGCGCCGAGGCCGTGCCTCCGTGCGCCGCGAGGGGGGGCCGGGACAGTCCCGCCTCGGACCCAGAACCGCCACGGGTGAACAGCATAGGGCTGGGGGTTGGGAACTGGAGGAGATGGCATGCGCTCCCGAGGCGCAGGCCTGGTGGCTGGCAAGAAAACGTGGACCCCGCATCCGCCCCGGGCACCCCGAAGGACGGGCCCAAAGTATCCTACTGGCTCATCGGCGCGGGCACCGCGAGCCCAAGAGTCACCCAGGCGCGGGCCTCCGAGGCAAGCCCGACGGCGACGGCACGGGCCCCGACCGCGAGCGCAGGGGCCACCCATGCACGGGCCTGCGCGGCAAGCTCGACGGCGAGGGCACGGCCTCTGAACGCGAGCCCAGGGGCCACCCGAGCACGTGCTTGCGCGGCGAGCTCGGCGGCGAACGCACGGGTCCCGACCGCGAGACCACGGGCCGCCCAGACACGGGCTTGCGGGGCATGTTCGGCGGCGACCCGACCGCGAGCCCACGGGCCACCCAGGCAGCCACCCAGGCACTGGCCTGCGAGGCGAGTTCGGCGGCGAGGGCACGGGCCCCGATCGTGAGCACTGGCGAGGGCACGGGCCCACCGCAGCAAGGGGGGCCACCCCGGCACGGGCCTGCGGGCACAGGCCCATCAGGCGTGCGCCCCAACCCTGGAGGGTTTCTCCGAAGGGCTTAAGCGACCCGTCCTCCTCCTCCTCCTCCTCCTCCTCTCCTCCTCCTCCTCCTCCTCCGCCCTCCTCCTCCTCCTCCTCCTCCTCCTCCTCCTCCTCCTCCTCCTCCTCCTCCTCCTCCTCTTCCATCTCCTTCTCCCCCTCCCCCTCCTCCACCTCCTCCTCCTCCTCCTCTTCCTCCTCCGACTCCTCCTCCTCCTCGGGTCTCCTACGGCCCCGGGGGAAACCGTGCACCCAACCCTCGAGAGAAATGTTGCCCCCACAAACCCCCCCACCACCACCACCACCATCCGCACGACCCCGCCTCGAGCCCGAGACTGTTTGTTTTGCGCTGCCCTAGTGTATCCAGGGCGCGACCGCCCTCCCTTCCCAGCCCTCGCCTCCGCGCGCAGTGCGGCGGGGCGCGTGCCTTGGTCTGGCACCGGTGCCTCCCCATCGTACGACCAGCGCGTGAACGCCGACAAGCTACGGCAGGTGGCAGTGTTGGTGGTAACGTTGTCGATGCTGTTGATGATGGTGATGAGGAGGAAGAGGAGGAGGAGGAGGAGGACGGACGGAAAAGAAGATAAAGAGGAGGACCATGACGACACGCAGGAGGAGAAGGAGGAGGGCGACGACGACGAGGACGAGGAAGGTGGAAGAGAGTTCAAGGAAGCGGACGAGGAATAGTAATAAGAAAATTATCCCAGTGCGACCCTACCTAGGAGTTGGAGCCTCTAGGAAAGCAACATTAGTAGGAGCGGTAAACGCCGTCCTCCTTCTCCTCATCGTCGTAGCTGTACCAGTAGTAGTAGTAGTAGTAGTAGTAGTAGTAGTAGTAGTAGTAGTAGTAGTAGTAGTAGTAGTCGTAGTTGTAGTCGTAGTCGTAGTCGTAGTCGTAGTCGTAGTCGTAGTCGTAGTCGTAGTCGTAGTCGTAGTCGTAGTCGTAGTCGTAGTCGTAGTCGTAGTCGTAGTCGTAGTCGTAGTCGTAGTCGTAGTCGTAGTCGTAGTCGTAGTAGTAGTAGTAGTAGTAGTAGTAGTAGTAGTCGTAGTCGTAGTCGTAGTCGTAGTAGTAGTCGTAGTAGTAGTAGTAGTAGTAGTAGCAGTATAGTAGTAGTAGTAGTAGTAGTAGTAGTAGTAGTAGTAGTCGTAGTCGTAGTCGTAGTCGTAGTAGTAGTAGTAGTAGTAGTAGTAGTAGTAGTTAGTAGTAGTTAGCTAGTAGTAGTAGTAGTAGTAGTAGTCAGTAGTAGTAGTAGTAGTAGTAGTAGTCGTAGTCGTAGGAGTAGTAGTCGTAGTAGTAGTAGTAGTAGTAGTAGTAGTAGTAGTAGTAGTAGGTGTAGTAGTAAGTAATAGTAGTAGTAGTAGTAGTAGTAGTAGTAGTAGTAGTAGTAGTAGTAGTGGTGGTGGTGGTGGTGGTGGTGGTGGTGGTGGTGGTGGTAGTAGTAGTAGTAGTAATAGTCGTAGTCGTAGTCGTAGTCGTGGTAGTGGTAGTGGTAGTGGTAGTAGTCGTCGTCGTCGTCGTAGTAGTAGTAGTAGTAGTAGTAGTAGTAGTGGATGATGTGCTGCGCTATGCTATGTTATGATATGCTATGCTATGCTATGCTATGCTATGCTGCACAATGCTATGCTGGGTTAGGCTAGGCTAGGCCATGTTATGCTATGCTATGCTGCGCTATGCTATGCTGTGCAATGCTATGCTGGGTTAGGCTATGCTATGCTTTTGCTTAGCCTTCGCTTTTGCCTTCACTTTTGCCTTTGCTTTTGCTTTTGCTTGGCACCCAGGGAGCGCAACTGGGGGAACCGCGCGTTTGCTTTTACCTTTGTTGTTGCTTTTGCTTGGCTCCCAGGGGACCGGGGGAACCGCCCGGGGCTGAGAAGGTGGAGGATGGCAGGAGGGCGAGGACGACCACGAGGAGGACGGCAACGGCGACGAGGAGGATGAGAAGGTGGAGTTGGAGGCGCGCCGCATGTATAGGCAGCGCACCCTTCCTAGTCATCGACGGTCGCTGAAGGAGGCGGATGAACATTGGCAGCAGCACGAGGATCAGACGTGGGAGAGGAAACAGGAAAGCAGGGGAGCGGGAGGAGGAGGAGGAGGAGGAGGAGGAGGAGGGCCTGGAACAGGACCAGGCACGGGATGAGAACAAGGACATTGGGAGCGAGGCGAAGAACAAGGAGGAGGAGTGGGAAGCAGGATCACTGCGGCAGGAGGAGCAGCAGCAGGAGAAGGGCGAGGACAGGGACGAGGGGCCCAGACAGGATGAGAAGCAGGAGTGTGGGAAGGGGGGGCAGAGGACATACGAGGAGGAGAAAAGGAAGTATGACTCTAACGGCTGTCGGAGAGGGTCACGAACGGGTTCTACGTATGCTCTCACTCCCATGAAAGCATTGCACCGGAGCCGCCCTGTCCCGCCTTCGCCCCCCCCCCCCCCGAGGCACGCGCAGTACGAGGCGAACAGGCCAGAGATGGCGCCGAGCTCAGAGCCTCGCTCGTGGCCTCGTTCCCCGGCCCTCGCCCCGTCTCCGCTTCCCCCTTCGCCCTCCCATCCCGGAATCCTGTCCGACTCCCTTCTCACCCCCACCCCGCCCCCCGCCCTCCCAGATCGTTGTTCCCCCCTCACATTCATCCTGCTGCTCCTCCTCCTCCTCTCTCGCCGTCCTTCCTCCTCCTCCTCATCCTCCACCCTTTACGCCCTCCCCCCTTGCACATTCGATTCCATCCTTTCTTTTTCTCCTCCACCTCCTTTGTCTCCTCCTCCCTCTCCAACATCCGCCCTCCCCATCATCCCGCCTCCTCATCATCACCGTCACCCCACCTTCGCGCGCAACCATGTTGACTCAAGGCCAGGATGGTTGCATCGGAACTCCCGACGCGAGGAGAGGCTCCCTTCCAATCGATTCAGTCTTCGATGCATTCGCAGCCATAGCATTTGGCGATCTGCCGCCCACTCCAGCGTATCTTTGCCTTTCTGGCGGCCCTGACACATCCCGGGCCCTCCTGGATCCGCCATTCACATCAGCGTGGTGGAGCCGCCCGTCGAGAGCACTGCTGATGGTCTCCTTCGGCTGTCAGCATCAAAACGGCAGAGTTTTTCAACATGACGTCGAGCAGCAGCGGCAGATCCTCGTCTTCTAGCCCTATCCATCATCATCATCATCATCATCATCATCATCAGCAGCATCAGCAGCATCAGCATCAGCATCAGCATCAGCATCAGCATCAGCATCATCAGCAGCAGCATCATCATCATCACCATCACCATCACCATCACCGTCACCGTCATTATCATCACCACCATCATCATCAGCAGCAGCATCATCATAGCAAGCAGCGTGCCCATCGGAGAGGTGGGAACACAAGTGGATCCAGCTGCGACCGTGGTCAGCGATCCATACGACAAACCTCCCCAACTCTTGTCGGCCGAGAAATGAAGAAATAAGATCGTGATCACGAACGCCGAGCCCCAGCCCACGGACAGGGAACTCGGCACTCTCACCGACGCAGTGGTACGGCAGGCGTTCCTGAGCGACGCCATGGCCCATCTTGAGGCGACGGAAGCCAAGCACGGCAGCAACGCAGCGAAGAGCAATAATTGTTCAACGGCCTGAACACTTTGGCCACATTCCCCTCTCGGGACCGACAGCAGCCAGAACCTTTTTTTCATTAATCGGGAGCAGGCCATTGGGCAGGATCGGCCGCCAGACCAGCCTCACCTGTCTACGCGCCAGCCGACCAGTCGTGTGCTACGCCACCGCCGCCCAGTTCGCCTCCAAGAGGGCAAGAGGCCCGCCTCGAGAACAGACTCCAGGAACGCTTCGCCGCGCAGATGGAGCTCGCGACGCGACCGCTCGCATTCAAGCTGAAGCGGGGCCGATTGCTCAAGACGCTCAGACTCCTCGCCATGGTGAGCTTCAAGTTGCTCTCAGGCCATTGCGTCAACAGGGCTCCAGGATCGACGGGCTGGGCACCACCCCTCGCGAACGCAGTGCGCGCTCACACGTGGTCGAACAAGAACAGTTTCAAGCACGAGCTGACGCAGAACGGACGCAGGCCTCTTCTGCCATGTCCGACGCCACCATGCCGTCCCTGAACATGGCCGCGCTTGCTGTATGGGATCGGCCTACAGACCCACACCTGTATACGATCGGCGCGGCTACGGGGCTGAATCCCCCCCTGCGTTTTTGAAACTTTTCGGTTTGCTGTTCCTTTTCGTTGTTGTGGGTGGTTCGTTCGATTTTTTCTTCGGGGGGGAGCTTTGTCTGAATCGTTTCCGATTCCGTTTCCTGTATTCTCGTACGTCGTTGGGGCATGGCCAGGAATGCGCCTGGGGCTTCGGGGGGGATCCTGGGAGAGGGGGGGCGACGCTTGGTCACGATTTCGATTGCGTGACCCTTCGCACAATCAGATCCATGACCAGGGGGGGGGGGGGCGACCTGGGGGGGGCGGGGGGGAGAAAGACCAAAACGCTTGCAAACCCAACATCTATGTGTTGCCCCCCCCCTGCGCCAGTACCGTAGGCCCGCCAGTGCCATCTTTTGCGGGTTTGCGTCCTGGCCGACAAATATAAAGATGGAAAAGAGCGTGTGCGACCCCGACTACTCCAGACCACCCTCCGCCTTTCGTAGCCGTTTCGGCCCACGTTTGTTTCTTGCGCCCGGCAGCATCGGGCACATATATGGTCAGGGACTACGCCAATCCAGAGTGCCGATGGGGGCAGCCGGGGCGGCCGCCCTGGTGAAAGGGGACAGCGCGCGCTGCCAGGTACGCCAAGCAGCTGCTCAGGTGGTGGAGCAACGATCCCGAGGTCAGCGCAAGGCTCTCGTCAGACTTTTTCGCAAAAGAACGGCGGACGGCAGGGAGGCTCGGATGGCGCAGCTGGCCCCCGGCGGCATGGAGGAGATTCGGCGTGCTGTTGGCGGTGTTGCCGTTGAAGATGCGGATGCCGTGATCTCTGAAGCTGCCGCACCTCCTCCCAGCACTGTTGTAGTACTTTAAGACTGTAGTGCTGTAGTGGTGGCGCTGTACTAGCCGTAGAACAGCACTGTAGCAACAGTACAGCAGTAGTGGTACTTTAGTATTGTACGAGTGGTACTCTCATACCGTGCTAAGCCAGTAGTAGCTCTGCATTATTGAAGTGGCAGCGCTGTAGTAGTCCTGTAGTTGCAGCCGTACTAGTAAAAAGGAGTAGTGCCCAGGCCTCCCAGTAAAGGCCATATTCTAGCGTTCTCTTTAGCAGTCGCACTGTCGTACTGCAGTAGGAGTAGTCCACAACTGTAGTGCTCGAGCGCAGTAGCAGTACCCTCGAACTGCAGCGGTTTAGTGGTCGCGATGTGGGAAAAACGATGCGCGATGGTGGAGTCGCGCTGTACTGATGTAGCGTTAGCACCGTAGAAGCAGTACTCGATTACAGCATTCGCACGAGTAGCACTCTACGATTGCCTGCAGTGAGCGTACCACTGTATTGCAATAGGAATATTCCAACGCCGTCATATCGCAGCATTGTTGTGTTATTCCTATAGCGCGACAGCGCTGTAGTGGCGATGCGGTTTTATTTTAGAACAGTACTTTGGCAGTAGCACTGCAGTAGTCGTACTCGAACACTGTGCTGGTGGCACTTTGATAAGTGCTAAACCAATAGTTGTAGCGCAAGAGTGAAGTGGCAGCGCTGCAGTAGTCGTGTAGTTGCAGCGGTAGCACCCATGTCTTGCAGCAGAGACCAGACCCTAGTGCTGGGTGTAGTAGTCGCACTGTAGTACTATAGTAGAAGTAGCCCGCTACTGTAGCGCTCGAGCGCAGCAGGTCCCCTCGAAATGTAGCGGTGTCTGTAGGAACGGCGCTGCAGGAACAGTGCTGTACGATTGTGGAATAGTGCCGTATTGTAGTAGTGGCGCTGTAGAAGTTGGACTCTAGGACAGCGCCCGTACGAGCAGCACCCTACGGTTGCCTGCAGCGGCTGCGATGCAGCACTGTAATAGGAATACTCCAACGCCGTACTATCGCAGCACAGTTGTAGTACTCTAGACATGTAGGGCCGTAGCGGTGGCGCTGTAATAGTCGTAACGCAGCACTGGAGCAGTGGCACTGCAGTAGCGGTACCCTAACGCTGTGCTGGTAGTGCTCTTACACTGGCAGTCGTAGTAATGGAGCTCTAACATTGGAGCACTCAAGCACGGAAGCCGTGCCTAGGACTGTTGCGCCGCAGTAGTATTGCATTCGCAGTATAGTATTGAAGTCGGAGTAACTGTCTGGCACAGTAGTAGCGGTACCACTGCAGTGGTGACTGGGATGAGCAGCAAAGCGTTGAAATGTTCTAGCAGTGCAGTAGCATTAAGCGACGGTCGTACTGTTGAAGTAATGATAATGTTGTGTGAGTCGGGTTGCAGTCGTACGTTCGTAGCAATACTGTTGTAGTAATGTGAAAGTCGTAATATCCGAGTATTGTAGTGGCAATAGTATGGGGAGGAGCTCCGGCTAGGTTTCGGCTGAGGCTGAGGCTGAGGCAAGGTTTAGGATGAGGCTTCGGATGAGCCTTATGCTAGGCTGAGGCTGAGGCATAGACTGAGACTGAGGACTTGGCTAGGCTGAGGCTTGGGATGGGTTTCGGCTAGGCTGAGGCGCGGGCTCGGCCGGCGCAGGCTGATGCTTCGGCTCGGCGGAGGTTGGCGCGCAGACCATGCTCAGGCTGAAGCGTAGGCAAGGCTGAACACCAGGCACAGGCCAGGCTCAGGCTAAACAGAGGCTGAGGCTAGGCTGAGGCCAAATGTCGGCTCCGGGCTTAAGCTTGGCTGGGCTGAAGCTTAGGCTGGGCCCAGGCCGAAGACTGGGCCGAGGGCGGCGGAGAGTGAGGGGGAGAGAGAGAGAGAGAGAGAGAGAGAGAGAGAGAGAGAGAGAGAGAGAGAGAGAGAGAGAGAGAGAGAGAGAGAGAGAGAGAGAGAGAGCGCGGGAGAGAGCGAGAGAGAGAGAGAGAGAGAGAGAGACCGGACAAGTAGGCGGACCAGGGTCCGTCCGCGAGGCGCACTGCGGTGCGACAACCCGCAAAACACTATTAGCGGCGGTGCAGCCTTAAGATACGAGGGCGGGCGACAGGCCCCCTCCCCCGGCGCAATGCGTCTGAAGTAAAAGACGGCGGACAGACCATGAAGATCTCACCTGTCAGACCGCGTGAAGAAAAAAGGGCCCCAACGCAAGTGGCGACGTGAAGAACGTGGCTTCTTTTTTTTTTTTTGTCTTTTTTTTATTTATTTTTTTATTTTTTTTTTGTTTTTTTTTTTTTTATTAATTTTTTTATACATTTTTATTTTTTTTTTTTTTTATATTGTTTTTTTTTTTTATTTGTTTTTTTTTTTTTTTTTTTATGATTTTTTTGTTTTCACTTTTTTTTTTGATTTTTTTTTTTTTTTTATTTTTTTATTTTTTTTTTTTTTTTTTATATTTTTTTTTTTTTTTTTTTTTTTTTTTTTTTTATTTA